CACACCATAAAAATGTAATTTAACAATTTAGGAAGATATGGGTTCAGTGACCTGTGTGTGTCCCTCGGGATATGTTGACTTAACATGCCAACATATTCAGTGCTTGTTCAAGTCTTCAACATTCTGACTGTTGCCTGTTTGGCCTATCATGCACACAGCATATATAGGACATCTGTGATGTCCCATGTCACCTGCCCATGGCCCCTGCCATGGTGGCTGATTGACATTCTCTGAAAAGGGACACATCATATTCATGCTATCACTTCAATTCCTACTCTGGGTTTGCCTTTTTGTGGGGGGATAGCTAGAGCAAGCCCTAGAACTTTGTTCAGAGCCTTCCTGTGTATAAAAGATATAAGAAAGGCAAAGGTAGCCACTCATGAGAGAGGGAGAACTGAAGACTGACTCTTTCCTTCAAAACTTTCAGAACACTCCTCTCAGGAAGATCTGTCAGTAGTGAGCAGTCAAAGGTCATTACTACTCTGTCCCCTGACTGCAGCAGGCACTCTTCATCCCAGGTCCCATCTGTCTCTGCTTCCTCACTTACACCAGCTAGAGACTCACAGTGTTGTGGAATATTAGCTTAAGATGTGTTAACATTCATTTACGCTGTGGAATATTTGTTTAATGATGCAAAGATGTGTTGTATTCTTTTATGTTGCATTTGTTTAATTCTGTTACTTTGTCTGCCTAAAATACTTGATTGGTCCAATAAGAGGTGAACGGCCAATAGGTAGGCAGGAGAGGGAAAAATAGGGAAGAAGAGAGAAGAAGAGAAGTGAGAAGGGGAGGATGCCAGAGGCCAGCCACACAGCCACCAAGCCCGCCATGGAGTAAGAAGGAAAGAAAGAAATACAGAATAGAGAAAGGTAAAAGCTCAGAGGCAAAAGGCAGATGAGTTAAAAAAAAAAAAAAAAGCTGACTAGAAATAAACCAAGCTAAGGCTGGGCATTCATAAGTAAGAATAAGTCTCCATGTACTATTTGGGAGCTGGGTGGTGGGCCCCCGAAGAGCAAAGACTTAAAAAGCAAACAAACCAGTGTCTGGTCTCCAGTGAGGTATCCACTCATGTGGGCTGTCTGCCTCCATGTTTCTCTCTGAAGCTCACTACATGTACCAGCACAGTGCAGGCTATGTTAAGAGCTTCACAGCATTTCTGCACCAGTGGGGAATGAGAGTCAATATAGAAATGTTCCTGTTGCCCTTTAAAAAAATGTGTGAATGCAGGTGCATGCATGCCATAGTGTAGATGTGGAGGTCAGAGACCACTGTGTGGGACTCAGTTCTCTTTCACCCTTGTACGGGATCTTGGAATTGAGCTCAGGCTGTCAGGCTTGTACTGCAAACACCTTCACTTAACGAGTCATCTCACCAGCCCCGATGCCCATCCCTTACATGAATGACTGGGAAAGACATTGCTCTGTTGTTCCTCAGAGATCCAAGGAGAGAACAATACCTTATGTTATGACCATTTCTGAGATCTTCCCATTCCAGAATGAAGCAGATGTAGAAAGGAGTGTGCTAGGCAATGTGTGGCTCCTGAACAATGAGACAACAGAAACAGTGATTATACAAGAGTGTGGCTTTACAATTTTTATTACATTACACATTTATTGTATATAAGGGGGATCTGTGCCCTGACAGATATGTGAAGGTCAGAGGTTAATTTGTGGGAATGGTTCTCTCCTTCCACCATTTGGGTCCCAGGGATTAAACAGGTTTGTTGGCTTGGCAGCAAGTGTGCTTACCTGCTAAGCCATCTCATGGCCTGTGTTTGGCTTTTGAAAATAAATGTTCTTAGCCTTGAAGATAGACTGGTGGTTCAGGTCAACCAGATCCACATGACCTGAAAGCCAGACAGTCTAAATTCCTTCATTTACGGATAGCATCATCTCCTAGAAGGAGTTTCTAGATTGGATTAATGAAGACAGGTGGCTGTGGTCCTGAACTGAATTAAAGAGAAGCAAGCTGAATACTAGCATTCAGCATTTTCTGCTTCCTGGCTGTTGATGTCATGTGACCAGCCACCTAGCACTGTTTCCTGTCTTCCCTGTTTTCGTGTCTTCCCTGTCACGGACTGGTCCTTCAAATCATTGAGCCCAAATAAGCCCTTCCTTAAGTCGCTTGTCAGGCATTTGGTCACAGCAACAAAGAAAGAAAGTAACACAGATGAGTTTCTGAAAGTCCACTAAGAAATCAGAAGGAGGCAGCAGAGAGCCCTGCTTACCTAGGCAGGCAACCGCTGAGCATGCTTTTCGAATTCTCAATCTAAGAGACTGGTGGATTCATTGTGAGGTGATGAAATGGTATTTATGGACATGGCCTCCAAGTGTGTCACACACTAGCCTTTAGTAATTTAAAATATCTAGTTTGACTTTTTGTACAAGCTATATGGTGTCTACTTCAGAATACAAACCAGAACTCAGCTTTTCTATGATTTGTTAAATTAATGAGCAAGTAAGTGGGGATCCCCCATTATATATGCTTGTGTCAATAAGATCTAGGCAAGGATGTTGTAGAAGACCAAATAGTTCATTGTTAAATGAAAAGCCACATGGTTGTTGGCTGGGGGAAAAAGCCAACATAATTACTCTTCAGGAGAGAGGTTTGTTAGGACCAAGATGGGGTTTTGAAAGAAAAGAAATATTAACAACATAACAGGACCTTAAAAGGAAGGAGAGGCTTCCCTTTAAAACAGAGAGAAGCCTTATGAGGGATTAGCTTAAAGAATAAGCTCATATTCTCTCTCTCTCTCTCTCTCTGCTTTTTGATACAGAGTTTCTCTGGTAACTCTAACTGTCCTGAACTCACTCCAGAGATCAGGCTGGCTTCAAACTCAGATCTGCCTTCCTCTGCTTCCTGAGTGCTGGGATTAAAGGCCTATGCCACCACACAGAGAGATAGCTGTCTTAACAGTAACAGGAACCCTATGATCAAAAGTGACTTTCGGGAGGAAAGTGTTTATTTCAGCTTATAATCCTCATGGTACAGTCCCATCACTATAGGGATCAGGACAAGAACAGAGGAGTGCTGTTTACTGTTTTGCTCTTATAGCACCCAGGACCACCAATCCAAGTCCAGCGAGCTGCACCCTCTCACATCAATCATCAAGAAAATGCACCACAGGCATGCTCACAAGCCAATCTGCTGGGGACATTTTCTCATGAGGTTCCCTCTTCCCAAATGACTACCTTGTGTCAAGTTGACATAAGATTAATCAGCACAATTGACCCTTGCTAACATGACATGTAACATTGCTATTAAATCACAGCCTTTCATTTTTTGTCCCCGAGGTATCATATTAATACCAACATAAACCAACTTTTAAAAGTTCCAATCTTTTAAAAAAATTCAAACCTTTAAAGTTACATGTCTCTATAATATCTAAAGTCATCTCTAAAATATCTACAGATGCTACAAAATTTCCAAATGTCCTTCCCCGCCCCCTCAAGGCAGAGTTTCTCTGTGTAGCCATAGCTGTCATGGAACTCAATATGTAGACCAAGGAGCCTCGAACTCAGCTCCCATGCTGTGGATAAATTCTTCTGTACACTGTGTGAATATATGTCACTATGATTGGTTTAATAAATATTCTGACTGGCCAATAGCTGAACAGGATAAAGTTAGGCAGGAAAGCCAAACTGAGAATGAGGGGATGAGGAAGGACAGAGTCAGAGGAGTCATTGGCCAGATGCAGAAGAAGCAGGAAATGAATGTGTCATGCTAATAAAGGTCCCACCATGTGGCAAAGCATAAATAAGGAATATGGGTTAACTTAAAATGTAAGAGCTAGTTAGTAATAAGCCTGAGCTATTGGCCAAGTATTTATAATTTATATTAAGCCTCTATTTGGGAACAGTCAGTCAGGATGGGAAAACTCCATTTATAGTCCCCTGCCTGTTGTGGGAATTGATCTATTCAGCCAATGGTATTGGGGTTACTGGACATGGACATTGTCTGCTCTGGGTATATGACTGGTTAAGAATGGAGGAAGAGAGTCTCTCCCTCTCTGTCTTGGATGTGGAAAGATTCCTGATGCCACACTTTGGTGACCTGTTATGAAGTTTTCTGCATTATCCCCTAGCAGACAAAGAGGCAGCAGGGCTGCTTCATCCTGTATTCCTTCATTTTGTATTCATGAGTGTGCTATTTCTTTTAGCCCCTTAATAAACTCTTGAACAGAATTTTGCAGATTCTCACTTCTCATGGCACCCAGTGTGTGTCTTGAACCCACAACCCTGGAAAAAGAATCTCATGTTCTCCTTACTGAGCTAGAAACATTTTACTAGAGACATATGCTGGAACATTGCCAGTCTTGATTTATACAGGTATTCCCATGATGGGCATGACTTCCAATAGGTGCGTAATTACAAAATCACCCTTTTCAGAACTCAAAGCAGTTGCCCATTGTAATTGTGAAAACATAACTATTGTATGGTGTACACATTTTAATTTTCCAAATTCTGTAAAATGAACATTCATTTGCCAACTTTTATTTCTTTGTATACATTTAGGGTAATTTCCTACAGGTAATGGAGTTTGGTTATAGAAGGAACAAGTAGGACCTTTTTTACAATTTTCTTGGCTTGTTGACAAGTGATAGAAAAATCTTTTCAAACTTTTTCTATTGACATGGTATTTATGAAATTCTGAGGCCTCCAGTAAATTTTTCTGTTAATAACTGATCGATTTTATCATTACCTTGTGCTAGAGGACCTGGCAGACCCATATGGGATTTGATGTGTGTGTGTGTGTTTTCTATTTCTGACCATTTCCTGTAATTGTATAAATAAATTCAGTGGTTTCAATGTGTAAAACAACTTTTTGCATATTGAGAATCAGTAACAATATTGAGAGGTTCTGTAAAGTCTATTAGTACCATGAGAATGACATACAATTCTGACTTTCGTACAGAATCGTAAGGGCTTTGACCATTTTACTTATATTTCCTGATTTATAGCCTGCCTTTCATGATTTATTTGCATCAATATAGAATGTAGGGGCTCCAGAAATTGGTGGTCACTCTCAATGTGAGAAAGGATCCAACTGCTTTTTTTTTTTAATTGATTTAAGTCTATCGCTTTTGGGATAATTGTTGTTAGTCTCTCCCAAAAAATTACTACAAGCTTTTCACCAATATTCATTTATTGCATATAAAGAGGAAATTTCCTCATTAGTAAAAGGTACTAAAATTTATGCTGGGTCCATTCCTGGCAATTGACAAAGCCTTAATTTTCCTTTTAGAATCAAATTAGAAACCTTTTCCATATATGCCTTTAATTTCTTATACTCTGTTTATGTGGTAAAAAAAAATATCCATTCCTGATGGTTGAGCTGGAACAGGGACAGAGTGAGAGAGCAAGGAAAGAGATACCATGATACAGGGAGACATCAAGGGAACAGAGAGAAACAGAGTGCTAAGGAAGTTCCCAGGAATCCACAAGGATGATCCCACCTTAGACTACTAGCGATAGTGGAGAAAGTGCCTGAACTGGCCTACTCTGGTAATCAGATTGGTGAATATCCTAACTGTCATCATAGAGCATTCATCCAGTAACTGATGGAAACAGATGCAGAAATCCACAGCTAAGCACCAGGCCAAGCTCCAGGAATCCAGTTGAAGAGAGAGAAGAGGGATTCTATGAGCAATGGGCATCAAGATCATGATTGAAAAATGTACAGAGACAACCAAACCAAACTAGTAGGAACTCATGAACTGTGGACCAACAGCTGTGGAGCCTCCATAGGACTGGACTAGGCCCTCTGCATAGGTAAGAGAGTTGTTTAACTTGACCTGCTTAAGAGGCCCCTGGCAGTGGGGATCCACCCCTGTTGCATGAGTGGGCTTTTTGGAGCCCAGTACCTATGGTGGGACACCTAACACAGCCTTGGTTTAGGAGGAGGGGCTTGGACCTGCCTCAACTGAATGTACTATGCTCTGCTGACTCTCCATGGGAGTCCTTGCCTTGAAGGAGGTGGTAATGGGGTGTAGTTTTGGGGGAAAGCTGGGAGTGGGAGGAGGGAGGAGAGGAGCACCTGTGGTTGGTATGTAAAATGAACAGAAAATTTCTTAATAAAAAAAATTAAAAAATCCATTCCCGATAATATCTTCCCTCTGCACTAAAATCTCCATAGGGAAATGCCTAGAGGATAATATAACCAGAATGCAGTTAAGCTCTGGATCCATGTGTGCATCCTATAATTTCTTCTTGACCAAAGCCAATTCTCTCTCAGCTTCAGCTGATAATTCTCTTGGAGTATTTAAGTCCTTGTCACCATTTAAGATTTTGAACAAATTATTCAGTTCATCATTTTTTTACCTTCCACTGGTATCTCTTAACTGGCTGAGAATAATTATAAGCAGGTACTGTGGAGGCAAAATTTTTCCTATCCTCTTCTTGTAGAGGTATAGTGAAGAAAGTCTTCAAGTCAATAACTATAATAGGCCATCATTTAGGTAACAGAGAAGGCAAAGGAATTTCAGGCTGTAGAGAGCCCAGCAGCTGAATTATTTCATTTATGGCTCTCAGATCTGTCAGCATTCCCTAAATTCCAGATTTTTTTAAAAATACAGGAGAATTCCAAGGACTTTTTGATTTTTCAATATGTTGAGCATTTAGGTGCTCCTAAACCAACAACTGTTCTAAAGCCTGTAGTTTCTCTGATGTCATAGGCCATTGCCCAACCCAGACAGGTTTGTTTGTTAACCATTTTAATGGTAGGGCTGTTTGTACCTTTGAGATATCAACAGCAATTGTGCCCTGTTTTTGTACAACCTGAATGGTTGGTGACTTTTGTAGTGCCTTACAATATTCTTCCCAGAAACATGATTTGGTTTGTGGTTTGTTTCTGAGATTGGAGGAATATTAATCTGGGTATTCTATTGCTGGAACAGATCACAACCTCATAGATTCATTGCTACATTAGACACATATGGCCTCAATTTTCCTCTCTGTCCTTCTGGCCCTATACATTCAACCTACCTCATGCTTTGTTTTACCTGAGATAGGGTTCCAATCCCTAAGAACTGAACATCTGCCCCCTGAAGAGGCCAATTTGGATACTATGATTATGGTGTAACTATAGTCACATCTGCCCCTGTGTCCAACAGAACATCAATTATGTTATTTATTCATACCCTTAGCCTTGGTCTTTGGTCATTTATAAGAGTCTGCCAAAATGTTCATTTTATGGTTTCTTCTTGAATTTTTGATTCATCTTCCAAAGCTCTCCTATCATCCAGAGCAGTATATTTTTTCACATTAGGTCCTGGATCTTCTAATTGTTCTGGGAAGGAGATTTCCCCACTGTGACCAGGAATGACTGGACAATAAATTTTCCTAATGGTGATCTCTAAAGTCTCTAGAAGGATGATGGGGCCCCACAACAATGATTCTACCTGGCCCATAATTATGCCATTGATTCAATAAACATCAAAGATTGGCCTTGGACAACAAACTGCTCGAGACAATTCTAAGGTAGCTAGCTGAAATAGTCCACCATCTTACACCACTCTAGCCAGAACCTCAGATAAGCCTTACCCATTACTCAGAGACTGGCTGAGTAACAAATGTTACAGCTAATCCTCATGAGACTTAACCATTGTTTTAGTCTTTTTCAGGATCCCATAGAGATACAAGGAAGTAATTCTAAAAAACAACGCCCCCTCTCCCAACAGGTTTTTTATTTTTCTCAGGGTTATGAATAATTGTCATAAGTAAGGGGGTGGTTATAATTTATTATAGGGTTGGGGGTCAAACAATAAAGATTAGACTCAGGAACTGCATTTGGAATAGAAAAAAGGGGGATAGGATAAAATAATAAGGCAGATTATTATATCTACCTATAAACCAAAAAAGCAACTAGCAGTTTTAGATAATTTGCATTGGTATGGATTCTTGTATATTGATATAAATATAAAGTTATTTTTCTTTTTCTGTTTAAGATAATTTGTATATTGATATAAATTCAAAATTATTTTTTGTTATAATGTATATATGTTTCTATTTCTGTTTGAAATATTTTTGTATCTAGATACAAATATAAAATTATTTTTGTCATACTGCATATGTTTCAACTTTTGTCTAGGATATTTTGTATATTGATAGAAATTAAGGTTATTTTTGTCATATCACACTATATATTTCTACCTCTGATTAAGATATTTTTGTACAGTGTCACAAATTCAATGTCATTGTCCTTATACTGTACATCTGTTTACAGATTGTTTTTTATAATGTGAAGCCTTAGTCTTTAAATTATATAGGTTGATAAGAATTACAGGTTAATTGGCTGAGGGGCCCCCAACTGGATCAGGCTCTCTGAATAGGTGAGACAGTTGATTGGCTTGATCTGTTTGGGAGGCATCCAGGCAGTGGGACCGGGTCCTGGGCTCAGTGCATGAGTTGGCTGTTTGGAACCTGGGGCTTATGCAGGGACGCTTGGCTCAGCCTGGGAGGAGGGGACTGGACCTGCCTGGACTGAGTCTACCAGGTTGATCTCAGTCCTTGGGGGAGGCTTTGCCCTGGAGGAGGTGGGAATAGGGGGTGAAGGGGAGGGGGACAGGAGAGGGGAGAACAAGGGAATTTGTGGCTGATATGTAGAACTAAATTATATTGTAAAATAAAATAAAATAATAAAAAAAGAATTACAGGTTAATAGTCACCCATATTTGTTAGACTTATAGTCATGTCAGTTAGGTTTTCTAGCTATACATAGATATATTTCAGATGGGTAGGCAATCTTCAAACACCTCATAGACCTAGAGAATATTGTGTTTAAATGTTTTAATAACTTAGAATTCTGATGATGTGAGATATAACTGCTCCTGGCAGCACCAATCTATTCCTGAAATGATGATGGGCATCGAAGACACTCCATATGGAATTTGTTTTCTTCTTGGCAAAACTGGCATGTTGGGCAAAGAACTCTCCTTTCCTTGACTGCTGACAATACAAATATTGTCCAATCTGAACAAGCAGGGCACAAGGAAAATCAACTGCTGAACCTTCCCAAGACAGGGTAGGACAGTCTTTCAAAATTTCCTGCTTCTGGCAATGGTTTTTCAGATATCATAGGCCTATAGCCAAAGTTGGATGCCACAATGATGAGGAGAAACATTGGGTGACTGTCCATGTAGCCAGCCATTTGTCATTTCTTGCATTTTTTGGAAGTCACATACTTGCATTTCCTGCTTACTCAGGTAATGTTACTTTTCTTCCCAGGTCCTTGATGGGGTTGAAGACTAGATAGTTACAGTTATAATCCTCTCATTTCTTATCTACGGGCATATCAAGTATAAGACAGACTCTTCAGGATAGGACAGCTATTAGAGTAATTGCTGTAATTGGCCAATTACCTATGGTCTGGACATCTAGAATGTGTTTCTTGCTTGATGTTGTTCTTGTTAGTTATAGGTCCATTTTTGGCTGTGTTATCTTTTCTTTCTTCTGAACAATACTTGATAATTGTTCTTATTGCATATAGTTTTGTGTTAGGATTAGAACCTATTAATTAGACAAAAAGGGGAAGTGTGGGAATTTGATCTGTTCAGCCAATGGTATTGGGGTTACTAGCCATGGATGTGGTCTGCTCTGGGTACATGACCAGTTAAGAATGGAGGAGGAGGAGGAGTCTCTCTCCCTCTCTCTTGGATGTGGAAGGTTTCCTGATGCCACGGTTTGGTGACCTGGTATGGAGCTTTCTCCATTCTCCCCTGGCAGACAAAGAGGCAGCAGGGCTGCTTCATCCCGTATTCCTTCATTTTGTATTCATGAGTGTGCTATTTCCTTTAGCTCCTTAATAGACTCTTGTAGAGACTTTTGTGTGTTCTCACTTCATCTGCCAATGTTTCCTGAGTACTGAGACTAAAGGCATGTGCCACTGCCACCCAGCTCCAAAGGTCTCAGATGTGGGCTCCTGTAAAATAAGTTATGTTCTTTCTTGCTCAAAGAGGGCATAACCAGGGCACAGTCACAATCAGATCAAAGCAAAGCCAAAGTCCATAGTGCG